CCCCGATGGCGACAAGGATGGGGAGACGGATGATGAGCCAGTAGTTCATATTATAATTTCTGGTCCAGCAGCTGCAGAAGAGACAGATGGAGTTATCATTGTCTGCAAAACCCAAATTCCTACTTACATCATAACATGGTCAGAAATATGTGGTGGTCTCATGTGAAGTTCTAGTAGGAATCCTGCCAACAGTACCAGGTCATCAGATGATCCAACTACTTCTCCCTCCATCTCCACCTAATGTGAGCTATACTAACGATGCATTTCATGTACATCCAGTAGCACATGCAAGGCCGCACTCTGTGCTCATTAGGGCTAAGAACAACTTTATTTTTCAGGTTCCAGCACGAACACTGACACACCGACCCACTTCTCCCATTGATGCATTTTGCCTTTTAGTAGAGTTTAATCATAGAGCCCAATTGTAGAACCTTATCACAAAACATAGTACTTAATCCAAGAACCATAGAGCTTAATCCAAGAACCATAGAGCTTAATCCAAGAACCATAGAGCTTAATCCAAGAACCATAGAGCTTAATCGTAGAACCATAGAGCTTAATCGTAGAATCGTAGAGATTTATTGTAGAACCGTAGAGTTGCTCTACAATTAAGTGGGAATGGGGGGGGGGGGACGCATCAGTTGAAGGTGTGGGATGGATTGTCAGTGCTCATGTTGGAACTTGAACAGTGAAGTTGTTTTCAGCCCGACAGAGAACAGAGTGTGGCCTTCTATGCGCTATTTGACTCTGGGTGGGGAAGGGGTGACCAGGAATCCTTCTCAGCAACCAGAGACTGACCATCCTTTTCAAAGAGCTAATCTTTTCATTGGTACCTTTGGTGAGCTGATACACAGATGTCATACAAATTGATGTGACCTCCTCTGGCAGAATGTTATACACATCAATCCTGACCCGCCCCTTGTTTGATTATGGGTTTGTAAGAGGTACAGGTGATGCACCAGGTCTAGCTACACACCTTTTACCTATAAAGATGTACACAGATGTACTGGACTTGCTTAAAGTAAACCTGGCATGAGGCTAATAAAGGGACGTCCACTGCTAGCCTCCTTCTGAAAGCGCTAATTGCCTCTTTGTCTCTGGGCACGGTGCTTTGTCTGTCAACAATCTGGGATAACTATGCAGCAAGTGAAGTCAGAAATGCTGATCTGAATACTTGTTCCAAGATGGTAATAAGAAATGAATGAAGCAAGAGGAAGTCAAGAAGCTAGAATTTTCGGAAGGGGATCAGAAAACGAGGTCCCTTTTATTCCTCAGTTCCATTCCCCGATTAGGTAAAAAGAAGAAAACCCCTTTAAGCCATACTGACCATACCATAGGAGGCTTGAGGCCTTTTAGGGGCTAGGGGCCTTTAGGCAGCTCCAAAACCCCTGTGGTGCATTCCTTTCTTCAGACCTACATGACTGTGTCTTCTTTTCTGTTTATTTTGTACATTTCCCTCTCCGATTTGTTCCTAAGTGTATTATCACTTCGGCTCACATTGCTGATTTGAGTTCAACTCTATAAACTCCCCTCTGTTCCGGGTCATTATGTTTAGGAGTCCAGATGGTGCTATACAGAGAACCATGCCAATACATACAATCAGATCACAGCTTGGCACTTATATATATACAGTATATGGCCAAAGCTTTGTGCAGGCCTGCTTGAGTTCCTCCACATTAAACTCATCAAACCATGTCTTTATGGAGCTGGCTTTGAACGTAGGGGCATGGTCATGCTGAAACAGAAGCTTCTCTTACCTATGAGCAACATATTTTATAATTTGGTAATGTCTTGTGTAAATCCTGTAGAATGTTTGAGCTACAGGAATGGCCATGGAGGTTGAGTACTGCTGAGTTGTGAGCAAGTGGGTTGCTCACGTAAAAGATGATCCAACTACTTCTCCCTCCATCTCCACCTAATGTGAGCTATACTAACGATGCATTTCATGTACATCCAGTAGCACATGCAAGACTGCCCTCTGTGCTTATTAGGGCTAAGAACATCTCCTGCACCTCCTGCACGGTGTCTGGTTCTATCAGTGGCACTGTCCTTCCATTCCCTGTTCCCGTCACCAGGAGTTGTAGGGCACGAGTCACAAGAGAAGCCTCCTCATCTTCCGGTCTCTCACCAGGTACATGATAGACACCTCTCAGAGCTCATTGTGAGGGTCTGCTATACACTATGAAAGCCCTCACATTTTTAAACTCTTACTTAAAGTATATCTAAAGGCAAAACCTTTTATTATTTTTGGATAGATTAATGAAGGACTACAGAACAATGCCTGGTGAAAACATGCATCCACCATGAGAAACGATCGTTGGCCAGGTGCCTTCATCTGGTTTTAGTCTTTGCCAATTTTTTGGTATACAATAAAAAAGAGTGATTTGTCATGAGTGCCCTTGACTTTCTTTTTCTGTACTGAATGGCTCCAACCGTTACTTCATAACAGTTGCAAGTGTAAAGTGCAGCCGATGACTGTATCAATCTGACTCACCTTAGGGGGCCTGTTTACCAAGAAGCAAATGTATTATTTTCTTTTTTACCTTGCAATGAAATTTAGATTTCAGTACCTTCCGGCAGTGCACAAAAAGTGGTTATGGCTCCAACGCTCATTGTAAAATGCACTTTGTGGTGTTTTTTATAGACTGAAAATATCATTTTAATGGGGCATAATAAAGAAACTTCCATGAACAAATGGTGTGCATCTGTAGAGGTGGAAAGCAGGCAGAATTCCAAGTTGAAGTTTGTTTCTATTAAATTAGTTTTACTGGTTTTCTTATGTATAATATGTTAACTCTTTGCTCTCTGGGAAAGGGTCTTCGGGACCTCTTAGTAGGGAAGAAGATGAAATTTCATCAAAGTAGCGGTTTCTCGATCAATTAAATCCCACCAACATTGACCTCTAATTTTTCCTTGCAAAACTGCTAGATGGAATCATAAAACGAAAAGCAAGACATTTAAAACCTCCCCTGATAATTGGGAAGGTTAAACAAACTGTTTGCTTTGTGCACTGGTTTTATTATTCAGAATTGTTTAGGCATACGCCTCGTAGGCAGGCCTTCTAGGTAGTCCGGGGCAATTTTTATACTTTGGCCTGGAGGGCCTGCCAGGGTTGCGCACTGGCACCTTATTTATTTTAAGCACAACTTTATGCACGTCTGTCACGTTTTTTGACTTTTATGAATGACTGAGGGTGCGGGTACCTTCGGGGCCTGTTCCTGAAGTTGGGAAAGAGGTTCTGTGACCTACAAAAGAGCCCGCTGCCTCCTCCCACTCAGGGGTCTCCCTTCGGGGGAGCCCCCAACCTAATACTCGGTGGACCTGTTTCGGCAGGTCCCAGAGGATCGGGGTCTGCCGAACCTTCGGGTAGGTGGACCTATGTCGTTCTTGTCCCTGTCAGGAGCCTTGCGCCCCGGAGGATCAGGAAATAGTGGCCCTTCTCATCAGAGAGAACCAACGGCACCCTTGTGCACTTTTTTGTTGTGTGTTGTTATTTCACAATTCACTTTTTTTGTTCACAGGGGATGTTTTCGATGCATGCTCCACAGGCTTCAAAAGAAAGTGTAATGGTTATATAAAGCCACTACACTCTGCCTTTAGTAAACATTGGATACATATTTGCTTTTGTTTCACCATGTTTTTCCCC